CTTATTTGTAATTTCTCCAATTTTTTTAGGCAATAGAAAAAATAAAAGCAGCTAAGAATAAGTCCTCTCAGGGGAGGTAAGTCGTAATGCTTATCTGCTGTATGTGATTGCATGGATTTCCTATATTCAAGATTGTAATGCCTTACATTCTTTTTACAGATTAGAATCGTTTTTCAAACCAGTTGCTAGCCCAACAGTGCCAATTAAGCGTAAGGTATGTTTCCATTAAGGAATAAGCATACTATGCCTGTCATTAGTTCTTCTTCCTGTGTCTATCGTCCCATATCCTTCCTTGATTAGTGGAGGTACGTTTCTTCTTCATTATGTTAGGAACCCCCTACACAAACTAATAACAGAACACAGACTCAGAGAAATTTACTTGAAAATGGGTCAAGTTCCTTTTATTAATCAAACTTCTGTCTCTCCGAAGAGAGGGATTACAGCCATGAAAATAAGAACATAAGAAAAGCTAAAAGAAAAGCAAGAACAATGGAGAATTCGAGGTTCTCCTTCCTCCTAAGGTCTGCTAACAGAAAATTCCCAATCAACAGACACCAATTCCCAGGCCACTCCACCGCCTAAATACTCCCTAGCTTTCCTACTCGTAACCAACTTGCCACCTCCAGCTTGTAATTCCTAGAGTAGACTAACGTGATAGGTGGCCTAACATTACCCCCTCTTCGATCGAAAACAACCTTGTCCCCAAGGTTGAAAGAAGGAAACTGCAAGCGGACAGCAGCCACAGGTTCCCATGCGGACTCCCAATCTGGTAGGCCGTGCCATTTTATGAGCACCTCCGGTTCCTCGCGACCACCCACAGCCACCACTCGGGAGGCTAACACTTCTGCCGGTTGAACACACAACTCTAAGTCCTCGGAGAGCTGCGCGGGAAGAGGCTGCACCTGAGAAGCGTTCCCTTTGAAGGGCTTCAATTGGGAAACGTGGAAAACAGGGTGGAGGCGAGCATCTGCTGGCAACCACAAACGATATGCCACCGGTCCAATCCTGTCCAATATTTTCAACGGCCCATAGAAGCGCGGGCCAAGCTTCTCATTCACGTGACGAGCAAGTGACTTGAGCCTATAAGGCCGTGGCTTAAGCAACACCAATTCACCCACCTCAAAACTCAATTCCCGTCGGTGACTATCGGCGAATTTCTTCATACGTTGCTGAGCTAACAGCAAATGAGATTTGAGGAGGTCCAACTTCTCATTTCAAAGGGCTAGCTGGTCTTCCACGGCTACCACAGTTCCCGGAGAGTCAGAGAAGCGAAGAAGAGCGGGGGGATCGCGACCATAAACAATGCGAAAGGGGGTGAACTTCATGGAAGCATTAAAGGTAGTGTTGAACTAATATTCGGCCCATGGAATGAGCGAAGACCACTGCTGAGGCTTATCTCCTGCAAAGCACCATAGGTATGTCTCTAAGCATTGAGTAGCGACCTCGATTTGGCCATCGGACTCCGGGGGGTAAGCCGAACTAGCACACAACTCAGTTCCCTGCAATTTGAACAACTCCTGCCAAAACCTGCTCATAAAAACTGCATCCCTATGACTCACAATGGACCGCGGAATGCCATGGAGCTTGACGATAGCTGAGATGAACAGGGCAGCCATCTGCTTAGCCGAGAAGGGGTGAGCCAAGGGACAGAAGTGAGCATATTTCGACAAGCGGTCAACCACCACAAAGATTGTGTCGAACCCATTAGACTTGGGAAGGCCCCCAATGAAATCCATAGATAAGTCTTCCCATACCTAATTTGGAATAGGCAATGGTTGTAAGAGGCCGACAAGAGACAAGGCATCGGTTTTGTTCTTTTGGCAAGTTTCGCAGGTAGCCACATATTCCCTGATCTGACGCTTCATTCCCCGCCAAAAACCACCGCGGACAGCCGCTTGTATGTGCACAGGAAGCCCGAGTGTCATCCGATTACTGAATCATGAAACTCGTTGAATAACCGAGGTATCCAAGGAGAATGCTCTACCAACACTAACTTGTCCTTGTAAAACAATAGCTCATTCTTCAATGAATAGTCTTCGAAAACCTCCCCTGCCTCGAGCTTGGAAATAATAGAAGCCCATCCCGGCTCTGCGCGTTGCTCCGACCGAATTGCGGTGAAATCCCACGTGTGTGGTATAGAGAAGGTGGAGATGGAAACATTGCCCCAGTCACCGCGACGGGAGAGCGCGTCCGCAACCCGGTTGGCAGCCCCCAACTTGTACTGCACTTCAAAATCATAGCCAAGCAGCTTGGATACCCACCGGAGTTGCTCAGGAGGTAGTTGGCGTTGGCCCATCAAAAAACACAAACTCTGCTGGTCAGTGCGTAACACAAAGTGGCGTCCCAGTACATAGTGCTGCCATTTCTGAACTGCGAGCACAAGTCCCATGAGCTCTCGCTCATAAACAGACTTCAACCGGGAAGTAGGGGAGAGGGCCTTGCTAAAAAAAGCAATGGGTATGCCCTTTTGCATCAAGACCGCGCCCAAACCAATCCCCGAGGCGTCCGATTCTATCACAAACGTTTTCAAAAAATCCGGCATTGCCAACACCAGTAGATGAGTCATTGCTAACTTAAGGTTGTCGAAGGCGCAAGGCGCGAGCCGCCTCGTCAGTCCAAACAAACCCCTTTTTTTTAAGCAACTCTGTCAAGGGCCTCACGAGTACTCCATAACCCTTAATGAAGCGACGATAGTACCCGGTGAGCCCCATAAATCTGTGCACCTCCCGAACATTCTTTAACGGTGGCCAAGACGAGATGACCTGTATCTTAGAAGGGTCAGCGGCCACTCATTGCCCCGAAATGAGGTGGCCAAGATACTCTAACTGCTGCTGGCCAAAACAATACTTTTCCTTGTTAGCAAATAGCTTCTCCTGCTGCAAAATTCCCAAGACAGTGCTAAGTGATGCGGTGTTCCTCCCAAGAATGGCTGTACACCAGAATATCGTCAAAGAATACCAGAGCGAATTTCTGGAGGTAAGGACGAAAAATCCGGTTCATGAGGGCTTGGAAAGTGGCCGGTGCATTTGTGAGGCCAAAGGGCATGCCGAGGAATTCGTAGTGGCCCTCGTGCGTACGAAAAGCCGTCTTCTCCACATCAACCTTATGCACCCTGATTTGGTGATATCCCGCCTGCAAATCCAGTTTCGAGATAACTACTGCCCCATGAAGTTTGTCTAGCAGCTCATCAATTAATGGGATTGGAAACTTATCGGGAATGGTTATTTGGTTCAAAGGCACGATAGTCCATGCAAAAGCGCCAACTACCGTCCTTAATCAAGAGCACCGGGCTCGAGTAGGGGTTGCTACTCGGACGAATGATCCCGGCAGCCAACATGTCCGACACCAAGCACTCTATCTCCCTTTTTGAACCCGCGGATAACGATACGGCCGAACATTAGGGGGGTCAGCCCCCTCGCGCAATATAATCCGGTGATCCCGTCCTTGGCGTGGTGGCAGCCCTGTAGGACTGTCAAAAACCCCCTCAAACTCCCCAAGAACCTCCCAAACCTCCTCCAGAATCTCTGTTTTCTTGTCCGTTCCCTGCAATGCAAGTTCACACACTTCCACCAACAAACCCACCTTGTTCGGGGGAAGAGTTCGAATCAAGGAACTCATCTTCACAGGGGCATAACACAAACTGGGGTCCCCTTGCCAAATCACCCACGTCGGCCCTGCCCTGAACTTCATTATAAACTTAGACTAGTCCGCCCTTACTTCGCCGAGTGTACTCAGCCAAGTCACTCCCAGGACTAGGTCGGCTCCCCCTAAGTCAAAAGAAAAGAAATCCTCCTCTACCCGATGCCCCTGAATCCACACTTGCACTCCTCTACAAATGCCAGTTTGTTTAAAACTCAAGCCATTTCCCACTATGATGTTGTGACTTACCGAAGGATCGACCGGCAACTGTAGTTCCGCCACCACCAAGGCTAAAATGAAGCTGTGCGTAGCGCCGCTATCCACTAGCACCACTACCTTGCAGCCCCCAATTTGTCCCCGGAGCTTCAACGTGTTGGAAGAAGACACCCCACGCATTGAGTTGAGAGATAAGTCCACTCTCTCGGTAGCCTCCTCTTTTCCCTTTTCTTCGTCCGTGGAGTGATCCCGGACAACCCCGCCGTCCCCGTCGGACGACTCCTCTTCCTCGGCCAGAATCAGCACCTGCAGCTGTCGGTTTTTGCATCGGTGACCCGGGCCGAACTTCTCATCACACTTGAAGCAAAGGCCCCGGGCTCGCCGGTACTGCATCTCTTCCTCCGTTAACCGTTGGA